TACTCGTTACATTAATGCGCAAAGCGCGAGTCGACGATAAGCGGCAAATCGCGGTTTACGATGCGTCGCTGTGTTTCGATTACAAAAAAAAAGCGCGCCAGACATACCGGCACCCGGCGTTCCGCATCGTAAATAAATTAAGTTAAACGTGCATTTGCGTACAAATTATTCTCGAACGGCGCGGCTGAAGCACCCAATAAAAATATTTCGCCGCTCGTTAAAATTAACAATGTCGGGACGAATAAATCGCGATTAATTATCCGGGCCACACATGCATATATGCGTGGATGAACGTTGTTCCGGTCAAAGGAAGCAAGAGAAATGGAGAAAAAGCGACAGAAAGAGAGATAGATAAAGAATTGGTAGATAAATAAAGAAGGAGGGAGGCAAAAAGAGAGAGAGAGAGAGAGAGACTCTCTTGTTAAAGAGAAAAAGAAAGGCGAGCCTTTCAAATGTAGCACAAACACGCTCGTGAAATTCCTCTCCTCGTTTCGACCGCGAAAGAATCGGAGAACACACCGTGGAATCCAAACGACCTTGCGCTCATTACGCGAAAAGAAAGCAAAAGCAAACAATAGGCATGATCTCTTGTATACTTACAAGTATACGCAGCTGACGGACGCAACCGACTATTTCATTTGACGTATGCGAGAGAAGTACGCGCGAGTTTGATGATCGATCTAAAGAATTCAATGTTTAAATCCTAGACAGAACAGTGATATATTAAAGCAATCATGAAATCTTGACATATCAAGTATGATTAATTTAAAGTGACATAAAAGTTTTTTTTATCTGCCTATCTAACTAGTGTCATGAGTGAAAAGTAAATAGGTTCTTTTTTTAGGACGAATTAACATACGTAAGATGTACATGACGGATGATTGGAAGAGGGTTAGAGATCGATGTTGTCGCTGCTTACATGACATTTTCTCAAACAAGCGATTCGCGAAGTGATTCAATTGATGTCGCTCATCTCTTATTACTTTAATTTTAAACGCGAGACTTAAAATTCCCTCCTTTTCTCTCTCTTTCTCTCTCTCTCTCTCTCTCTCTCTCTCTCTCTCTCTCTTTCTCTCAGCTTTAAAAAGAGTAAAGAAAGAATTATAAGTCTCGCTGTCAAAGTAATGTTGATACAATCAGGCCTAATAATATTTGGTTTATAGAGAACGGTGGAATATAACACAATTATTACGCAATAATAAAATGAGAAAAGAAAGTGACAAGAGATGTAAGGTTGTAACATTTGAACAATAATAATACCTGCATGCTTAATAGTCGCACAAGAAGAGAGCTCGAGCATCTCTCTCTTCTTCGGTTTCTTACTACGAGAGAGCAAGGGCTTCCACGAAGAGAGCTAACGAGGCGGTCAGGTAGATACTCCGATCGCTAACAGCTGCGCGGGGAGCAAAACTTGACGGGAGAGACAGAGCGGAGACGGTGGATCCCGTCCCTCGATAAGAGTCTTCGATATGTTGTACAATAACCGAGCCTGCAACTCGATCTTTCATCGCGCGAGACCGCGCTTGTCGCTCGATCTGCGTGTTACTTAACAGCCTTCGCGGGCTATGTTGACACGACATAGCGATCTAGAAAGAAAAGAGAGAATTCGATAAATATTTTATGAACTATCCAAGATTATAATAAAACATTCACTAAACTTTTTTAACTCTGGATCTGTCGTTTTTTTAACAGGATTAATTTTGATTTAAATTTTTTCTGAAACAATAAAGGGATAAAGAATCGATAGATTCTCCGTCATCATCTTTGATGTACTTTCACGTAGAGAAAGTATCAATTGAAATCCTGATAAAGTTCTATCGGTTTTTTTATGACAAAAACAAATATATAAAAAAATATATAGAAGAAAACCAATTTATTCGTCAAAATAGTTACATGCAATAATTTTTTCCCAGCGAAAAACAAGCTTATTATAATCGCTTTTATAAAAGTCACTTTTAGAGATGAAAAAATTCTCCAAGTTCATTTTCACAGCCTTTCTATTTTTGAATTGTTGATTCCGTAGATGATTGTCTAAGCTTAATCGATGTAATAGATAGAATGCCTGCTAGTATAATCTTGACCCATCTTGTGATGATCAATTGAGTTTGTCATCCGCCAAATTTCCTGATGCGAGACAGTACACTTGAATACCTCATCGATCATCAGTCATACTTCAGATCAATGAACCGCAAGAAGGTTCAAACATCGCCGCGGTGAAGAAACCACTTGACCTTGCATGGTCAGACGTCTGTTGCAACCTCCCAATCATTAAACGATTTATTTGCACATCTCGTCGCTCAAGGACCAACTGCGAAGATCGGCCCGGATGATCTTACAAACGTTCGCATCAATTAGAGAAGGTACTAGAAATCTATTCGTATAATCGTAATTTATATAGTACAGTGTTAATAATATAAAAAAGATCTGAGCAACGGTTCGGATCAACAGTAAACTTTATATACAATTCAATTTTTTATCTCTCTCTTGTTTCAATTTACGTAATTTAAATTAAGATCAATTAAGACTGATAAAAGTTGATCTCGATAAAAATGTCCACAAATTCAGATTTAAAAGTTGAGTAAATTAGAAAATTTTTTATTGTAAGGAAATAATTTTATAGAATGAAAAATTGAACTCGGTTTCAAATCTAAAGAGAATCTTTCCAGCTTTCATATTTAATTATGCCATTTATAAAGTGTTTAAAAACGTCGGGAAATATTTCATATACATCCAAACGCTTTTGTATGTATAAGTAATTAATTTTACTAATATGTTTAGAAAAGTACACTAACAAAGCGTTATATCTTCTGCTGTAACCGCCAATATTCATGTCACGACGTAATGTCGAGAGCTGAAAGTGTAGAAAGCTAAGTCATCGGCTTTTACCTAATAATCGCGATGGGTTGAGATCCAGAGACTCCGCGGGAGCTGCGGTCCAGGTGGTGGGCTATCTGTCGATGCTCCTCGTGAAAGCAGGCATTCCGAACGTACCTCGTTCAGTTCGGGGAACGAACAAGCACTCGGTGTCTCGAGGAGGTCTGTTCTTCGCGGTGTGTCGTTAAGCGTACACAAACATAAACACACATGCACATACCAAGTTATATACACTCTCGACTGTGGGCCTCTGGTATTTACCAGCGATTCGCTTGGTCAATATGCGGATGTATGAGTACATCGATGTATCCACTCTTGACGTACACATACATGCACGAGAAGAGGTTCTTCCTCCTTCCACTCGCGAAGGATAGAAGATAAAGCTTTTCTCTTTGCTGCTTCCCTCCGCTACTCATTTAGCCATTCTCTTCGTTTATTCTAGCTTTCCTTAGGACGGAATAGGATCTCTGTTTCAGACTCACAATCAGCAGATAAAGGTTTATGAGCTCTTTCTGAATAATCCATTAACAATCTCCGTTGTCCTCCGCGTGATGGAAACTGTGAAAGCCCATCCCACTTCTTCGGTTGCGTTCCATCGTGGCACACACGGAATGAATTCGAGTTGCGTGCAGTTCGCACGTGCCATTCTAATCGCGTCAATCTAAACTTGGCAATATATCATACAAGACTTGTACGTACATATATATATATGTGTGTGTGTGTGTGTGTGTGTGTGTGGTGTGTGTTTTTCGTGTTAATTTGCAACTTACAGTTTAATGTTGTGTTCTTAAATTAATGTAAACATTTCTTATATTGTTTATATTAGCCCTTTATGGTGACACTTCAAAAAAGCTACACGATGGTTACTCTGAGTTAAAATGACCCGAATCATTTTTTGAAGTGTGTTATCAAATCAATAGTATTAGTTTCATTGAGTTCGAAAAATTATAATATATAATTTTATCCTCTAAGAAAATGGAACAATAACGTCGTAGTGAAAAATTTAATTTTAACAACTAAAAAAACCATAAATGTGTTAACTCCGGAAAATGAGTTTTATTATTAAAAAAATAATAACTTTTTAAATTTATAATATTTCAAATGCATATTCGTTTAATCCTCTTGAGATTTATGCTCGGGTCATTTTGTTCCACGGTAACCATGAAGGGTTAATATATGTATATTTAATTATTATTTTAATTCATGATTAAAATATAGGTACGTATCTACAAGGAAAGTTTGATAAATCAGTAATTCTTTTTAATTTTTTAAAATTAAAATTCATTCATTTTTCAATATAATCTTCTTTTAAACATAACAATTAAAATTGAAAAAGGCTCCAAAGATTAAATCAATAAAGGAAAATGAATGTCAATGAGAATCAACACAATTACGTGTATAATCAAATATTAATATAATATGTATGTCAATCACCAATGTAATTGGACATTTCGACCATAAGATTAGGTTCTCCTCAGCGTATAAGTAACAATATCGGAATCAAATTAATACGTAAACAGATAGGTTCCTTTTAAAAAGTCATTGACTTATCAAATTGCTCACGTATGTATTCACATTTAATAAAAATCAACTTTTGACGTGATCAATCACGCACGTATCTATATATACATTTTAAATTACTTAATTTTGGAGTATACGATAAAAATGTCTTTGAGGAATGAACTAACTGAAGTTACGAGACATGACTTCCTGTGGAAATTTTGCTCTTCCGTGCTGCAAAGACAACGGCTGAAAAGAAATACATATAATATAATGTTTAACGAACATAATGTTTCTCTCTCTCTTTTTTGTTCTATCTGCGAGAATCTCTGTTCGCATTTTCCGAATCGGCGGATCTCGCGTTGCACGTGCACGTTCTCTCCTCCCTCGACGGCGACCAATTCCTCCTCCGTCTCTCGCGAGTCTCACGAGGAAGACCACTCTCCGAACTCCGCCGCGACGACGTCCTCCTTCTCCTCCGCCGCGAGCGCTGCCACCACCACACAACCACTGCTACTACCACTGCCAGCTTACATCTTCCCTCCCTTCCCTAGTCTTTTTCTCTCTCTTGGTGACCGCGCGCGATCTTTGTTACTCCGCGCGGACGTACAGTGGTGGAAGTTGCCGAACGGAACTTCAGTGCAGCTGCGACGAGCAGCTGACGCGGAATCATTCAGGTTTGTGGTGTAGAGCTCGCGCCGGGTATATACGTGACACGGGACACCGCACGACAGGTCACACGTTGCCGCTTCAGCCTCCGAGAGCCGGAGAGAGGAGAGGACCAGCCGAGATTCGCGCGGTGTCTTCGGTACCCGCCGCAAATGAGCTCGCGCCGCGAGTGCGCGCGCGAGGGAAACGCTCTTGCTGCCGATCGCCGCGGCCGCATCTCACAATCAGTCGCGAACAGTGCGGTGTGTCGTCGCCGTCGTCGTCACCATCGTCATCATCATCATCATCATCATCATCGTTACGCGATTCCGCGGCGATCGAGGTGCGTCGCCGCCTGTGCTCCGCGGTCACGACGACAACTCGGGTCGAGAGTGTCGAGACGGCAGTTGAGAAGGAGCTTGTGAAAGAGGCAAAGAGGCAAAGAGCAACGCGCGACAAGTGTACGCGCGCGAGCGCGCCGACGCCGACGCCGACGCCGACGCCGACGCCGACGCCGACGCCGACGTCGAGGGAATACATACTCGCAGGTGAGTATGAGATCGCTTGTCGCGTTCGCCAGGGGGTATCCATGTCTCGCCGAGAACGAGATCCTCGAGGATACCTCCAGGCGCAATACGGATACTGATGGACGGCCAACGGGCTGATAGAAAGAAACTGATTATATCCTGGGAAAAATCACTTGGAGGAGATAAAAGTTTCTGACAAAATATAATTATTAAAGTATGATCGTACATTTAGCTTTTGCAGTGAAAGATAAAATAGGTGGAATAAAATAGGATGTGAAGAAGAGGAAGAGAAGGAACGTACGAGTTATAGAAATGTAAAGAATTTCTTAATGCGCTCTGGAATGAAACTCTTAACTGTTTAAAATATTTGAAGTAAATCTAAATAATCTCTAAGTAATCTTGAAGAATGAAATCTCATTCTCAAAAATTAACAATTGACCTTTTTCAACATTGACTCAATTGTCACTCTTCGTCATTCTTTAGAATTAGATTCCACTCCACAGTAAAAAGATTTTACTGAGAAGAGCGATAAGTCATCTATGTTGACAATTAATAATCATAAGTCATTGAAAATGTTGATAAATTTATTTTTGAAAATGACGATTCTTAGCTGTGTCACGTTCATCTTAGTCAATTCTAGTTTTTATCATTAAGTTGACTTTCTCTGTTGACATTTAATCAGAAATTAAAGAGTTGACATTTAAAATTGAGAGCTAGTCCAGTCCGAAGAAATTTTCTTCCATAAATCAATTGCGTAACACTCGAAGGATCCCTTGCACAGTTTCAGCGCGACATGTAGGGATAATTAAAGTGATCTTTAAACGTGATGAGGATGAAAAAGGAAGAGACGGAGGAAATGACACTGAGAATGCGGATTGTGTGGTGCGTGATGGATGAATCGGGCCTAGCGAGCGGATTTTTAACACGTGATATCATCCAGAGGAAAACGAACCGCGTAGTTATCTCGAGAGTTATCGGACTTGATCGATAGAGACACGTGCGAAGGCGACACGTGATTCCCGTTCGGTGACAGTCTCTAATTCGTAAGATCTCGATTTGCATTCGTTCGTTTGACTCACCTAACGGCGAGTGTCCGCTTCCAGAACGTACATTTTTACTAGACATTTATTGCCAAGTATATTTATTGTTGCCCAAGAAAAAAAAAGAGAAAAATAGAGAGCGCCTGAACGACTTTTTTTTATTTCTCGAAGAGAGTATTTGATTCAGCTGGAAGATAAGAAATGAATGGACGTCTCAAAATTTAATGTATTTTGCATTAAACCTAACCGCGTTATGTGATGACTGTATCTTTTATTATAAAGTCCTTTATTTCAAGTAGCTGTCCTTTAGATTTGTTTATTTTTTTCATAATCCAAACTTAATTTGTTCTTTATTTTAATATTATGGATAATTCCTTTCTAATTAGCATTCCAATGTCACACTAATGAGCGAATGTTTACGGAAACAATCGATAAATTTAGTTTTATGCAAAGGCAATATTAGCGAGACAATAAAGTTAGAATAACGTTAAAAAAGACAAATGAATGATTGAAAAGTGACTTTTAATAACAAAATTTGCGATTATATTGATACTTGGGAATTATTTCAAATATACTGCGCAAGAAAATTTTAGAAATTAATGCGCAGACAATTCTGATAGTCGCAAATTAGTTTCGAAATGTTTTAGAATAAAGTTCTAAAGTGCTCAGGTTTATTGGAATAAAGTTCTAAAGTGTTCAGGTTCCTTTATTTTTTCTAGGAAAATATGGTAATCACCGTAATTAAACGACGAGATGTTGCGGACGTGCCGCGACTTTATTCACCTCGGATACGAGTGCAAAATAGTCGTCGGTTTAATCGAATTTCAAGCTAGTGAGTCATCATTTAACAAAATGCGGAATGAAAGTGTCATTCTTGGTCTTTGTTTACGTCAATCGTGTTTGGCATAGCACTTCGATGAGGCTTAGATTCAAACAAAACAACGTCAATTTTTGCGAAATCATGGAGATCGTGAGCGAGAACAGCGGAGAAATTCGCGGGGAATCGCCAATGTCAGCTGCTCGATCGGATTCGCAATGCGTCGCGTCGAGTTGCATTCGCTCCACTCGCTCGTTCGATCGACCGATCGACCGATTGCGCGTAACTGCGGGAACACTTTCAAAAATGATTGTCGCCAAAGTCATGTCGACCTGGCGAAATGTTCGAATGTATTGCGTGGGTGCGAGTGGAGAAAAGAACAGGTAATTTCGACGAGATCGCGAAATCAATCGGTCATTCACGACATTACGATTTCCATCGTATATATAATCGACTTTCATGACACGTCGACTTGCTTTACAGGCATATTTTATTCGGAATATTTTATTCTTCTGTTGAAAGTAATAACAAGTTTGCGATGAACCGAATTCTTTAACAAAATAACTCGTTCTTTCCGAAAAATATACAAATTTACAGAATAAGTTTAAGTTTTCCATGAAATTTTCTGAAGGTAAAAACGAAAGAAACAAATTTTATCGAATGCAATTAGCCAATTGAATTTATCAAGCCACGTGAGAGATTACTGGTTTAATCGTTTATCCGATCAATAGGAACGAACCGATTAATCGATCAAGCTGCAAACCACTGAGACTCAATCGATTAATCAAACGAAATCGATAAACGGATAACAATTTAATCGATAAATCTCGCGCGACCGCTTTCAATCGCTTAAGTCGACTAATGCAAAATACATAATGAAATGATTTCGAAATGAGTTATTTGGTTTGAATAATAGATATTAAAATGATATACACGCAGCAACTTGGGGGAAATTAAATAATTAAACGTGTAATGAAAGTTTATAATTATAATAATAAAAATTTAGATATTTTATTCACTTAAAGTATGATAATAAAATATTTCGAGAGTTAATTTAATAGGAAGATATTTTATATTATTTTTTAATGTAGAAAGAAAGTTTACAAGAACAAATTAGAAGTTTTTTATGAATCCAATTTTATCCATCAATTAAATTTAATCATAATATTATATCACATCATCTTTATTGCTATATTTATTATTAAAATATTACAATGTAAAAAATGCAGAATGCTTAATTTTAAATTACTTAAAAAATTAACATCGGAAATATTGTTCCAATTCACATTTTTGATTAGTCAATAATATAGATTATTGACTAATGTAAGTAATTAGTTTTCACTAAAAAGACAAATAAACTACTAGAAAAACAAAGAAAGTAATAAAAAATCAAATATTTTATCAGTATAAAAAGTATCATTATTGAAAAGTTAAACAATTTCACACAGAATCCCATCTTTCACACAAGAAATATAATATTACATAATCTATAAAGATCTATAGAAAGGATCAATAATGATCGCTTGATATTTCTAATATCAAAGATCCATTTGATTTAAGGTGCTGCGAAAATAACATTTTATTCCTTAACGATATTCGGATTTAAAAGATATTACGCGTATAATAAGCGCGGCGCCAATTTGACGGGATAACCATACAGCTTTCGATTGTCCGACGTATAGCTCGCGCTGATTCGCGAAGGTAATGCAATTATCGCGAGTGATATTTTTCAGCTATTTAAGACACCGGCAAATGTTGACGAAGCACGTCTTGCAGGTCCGCGATATCGACTCAATCCCATCCCTATATTACATACGCGCGCGCGCGCGCGCACGCACGCACGCACACGCACGTCGAGCCCTTCCTCGCCAGCACGCACCTGTTATGTTGTGTTGTCGTTCTGCAGCGGCGTGGCTGCACGCGACAGCTCGTGCCACTTACTTCCAGTTACCTCTCGACAGTGCGAACCATCGGCCGCCGTCGCGTCGCTATTTCTCGCGCCGTATCGACGCTGTCGCGAAACCATGATCTCTGACACGAAGAAAGATTGATCATCCACCTCGTTCGCGACTGGAACCCCCATCAGGCTGGAATAGAATGTAATAGAAAAGAACGAAGTCTGTTTTTTATTACAGCTGAATTAATGTACACTTTTGGAATTTAATATAAAACGATATACCTTTGATATTTAGCTAAAGTGACAAAAAAAGTTCTAATGCATGAATAAAAAGACAGACGTATTGTTGGTGCGGTTATTTGCGCGCGAAACTAAAACGTTCAACGTTCCGTCGAATAACGGAAGTAGAAAGACGAATGCGATATTTGAAAGTGTGCACTGTGATTTGCTACTTATTTCCTTCCATCTCGAAATCAACGCGAATCAACATTGCTTTCGTTTTAAATTAATATCAGGCGTATCAGTTTTATCACGAGTTCCCGGAGTGGATTTTTTCTCTACTTTTGAAGTAGATAAGGGACGGATATTGTGTGCATCACACAAAGTCTATAAAAACAAATTTTCCTTAAGAAACATGGAAAAAGTCAGTTCGGAGTAAGCGATGATGCGCAACCAATCTAAAGTGCTGTAACGCGAATTATGAAATTAAAATTTTATATGAGAAAATAAGAATTATATTGCGCTTCACCTTCATCTTCCTATAACGGTAAGTGACGTTGACCCGGTAAAGGATTTACTGTGTTCTCTTTATGATTCTTATTATTATTAAATTCCATTAAAATACGACATTATATTATAAGTAAAATCGCAGGAAAATGATTAATCGTAATGTTTCATTACGTAAATAAAAACGATAATGAAATACTTCCAATCGGAATATAAAATATACGAGCAAACTGCAACTGAGAACGCAGACAACAGAGACCTTTTCCCTTATTCTGTTTTACACTTTCTGCCAATTGTGACAAAACAAAGATTCTGTTATTCTGTACAGACATACGAAGGCGAATTCTACATTTATGAAAGTACATTTAAGATAAGTAACGTAAGTTGATTCTCTCGCATAACGATAGAGATGAGAATCTTTACCGTGATTATACCGGATTTAATGACTGAAGAACACGGGCTCAAAGGTACAATCGAGGAGGAAAGAGATCGCGATCTCCCGAGGACGATCTCGCGAGAGCGGCTTCTTCCTCGGAGGCCT